ACACCCACAGTCAAGAGGGGTTACTGTGTTACAGAGCAGGATATTGTGCCAAATCATTGTGCCTGATTTGTCGGGCAAGGAGAGAGAGAAGTAAGAGGAAACAAGTGGGACAAAGACAGAAAATGAGTGCAATCTAAATGAGGACCAGCGCTGCGTTATGATCATCATTCAAACTCATTTTAAAAACTATCCTCTGCGCAGCCTTATCTGACAGGATCTGGGATCACATGCTGCATCCGAACCGACCTGCAGTGTTTGCAGTGCTAATGAGTCCGATGGGTTGTGCGAGTAGTGGGTTGAGACAGAACTGCTGACACAACAGCAAAAAGGCAGCTTTCCTTTCTTAGACCAGAGGAAAAGCTGGACAGCTATGGGGTTATTAAATATGTAACACCTCAGTATGTGGTCAGTCATAAACCTTCCCTGTCAGGGACTGCATTTTGAGCAACAAAACATCGGATCCACAGTGTGTCTATAGGTGCTTATCAAAACAGAAATTCTTGGTTGTTACAAATCAATGCCATACAGGAGGTTGTGATCAGCTTACAGTGAGAAAGCAACAAGAAAAAACTTATCCAAACAATCACATTACCTTCAAGTATCAATACCCCCCAAAAAAACTATTGCACACATGCTGAGACTACTAGCAATATTATTACAATAAATGAATAATTTGTGATGCAAAAATAGGCTGCCAAATATTTGCTGGTTCAAGCAAATGTGAGGATTTTACTATTGTCTTTGTCCTATATAAAGATAAGATATTACTTTATTAATCCCCCATAGGGGAAATTTAGGTCAACATAGAAGCACAAGGAATATAAAAGAACAGATGCAGTATTGTAGATGTATTAACACACTATGTGGTAGTAACCGGAATACATTTGGGCTTTGGATAGTTGGTTGGATAAAATTTCAATGCATCACCTTGAGTTCTGGGAAAGTGTAACAGGCAACAACTATTTATTAAACTCCCAGAGCCAATGGTGACATATCCTAACACTCAAAGACATTTGGTTTACAATGATGTAAGATAACCAGAAAATACTCACTTTTAATAAGCATTGTACATTCTTTCTCAAAAATCGATCACGATTAATCGACTAATCAGCGCAGCTCTAAAGTTGGCTTATGTTGTATAAGGTTACTCACTTTACATCCTACTGACAGCCGCTTATATAAATATTAGGAAACTGGGCATTGGGAATAAGCACAAGATACCTAAAGCTCAATAGGAGCCCGGAGAGAGGAACTGACTTACTCAAAAGCAAAGAAGAGAGCGCAGGTCCCGACGATGAGGAACAGGGTCAGGTAGAAGACTCCTTTCTGCCGGGCCATCATCACCCGTCCGTCACAGCAGAAAGTGTTCTTACCCGGGAGCTTCTCCCATTTTCGCACCTTTCGTGTTATCATCACCGCCGACATGGTGTCCTCTAGTCAGATGGGTCCTCAGTCCTTCTTTGAGTTAATGTCAGCTGTTCTACTGTAAAACAATAAGCTGGTAGCTTTGGAGAGCTCCTACACTGTTCAATGTGACACACAGTCCAATTGCAAAAATACAAACCACTTACTCGGTAATATTAAAGATTTTTGCACAAGGCGACGACTAAGAAGCAATGTCGCAGTCACATCATCAGTGTTTTCTAATCCATATTGTATCCAGTTTCCCGTCTTTAGGCTACTGCAGCATGTCATTCCCACAGTGAGGCTCCCACGCTGCTGCTCAAGCAATCTCAATCCTCTCAACGCCCAATCAGTATTGGAAATTATTAGAAATTTATCCAAATGCTTGCGGCAGATGTTCCCCACCAGAAGCTAGAAAACCAAGCCGTGGCTGTTGCATCGGGAGAGCGGACCTTGACCCATTGAAATTCATATCATCACGATAAATCATAAATGATCGCACACGCGAGCTGCTCCGCGTTCACTGACGTTATACTATGCCCAAGCTGCTGGACATGGTCAGCAGGCCTTCATGTAAAGAGCAAAAAAATGAAGACGAAGAACAGAGATCATTAATAGGAAATTATCACCTGCATGGACGCAAACATGCAAAGCTGTCCGATGTGCTTATTCCCCGCAGGATGCCAGCTCTCGGTTTTACTCAATGGCAGCAGGAAACACGCCTAGATTGAAATGTCTAATCTTAAAGGGGCAGGACAGGTAAAACAACAAGGAACAAAGGACACAGATGGAGGTCCTATTTAGATCACATTCATATGCTAAATCGCTCGCCTGTAGTATCGACCAAGAGAGGAAGGTGAGAAGTGCATTAATGAAGGTAATTGGTTATAGACACCAGATGCATTAATCCCTCAGGTGCTGCTCCATGTGTAGTTCAATGGCTCCAGAGAGCAGAGGAAAACGCTGCAGAAGTCCTCAGAGTCAATCATGTTATAGAATAGCCTACTAGGAACATTATGGACAGAAGATATGTTCACTTTGAGTATTTTAAGCTCCAATTTATATAGGCTATGTAGCCTATATACTGTGTGCATATTTTATGTGTTTCATGCTATTTGTAGTTTATTGATTAACTGTACTTCATATCTAATATCCTACTTTATTAAATCCATATTCTTTATTTTGAATAGTGTTTTTTGTTGTTTGGTGTTGTATAATTATTTAGAAATGTGTTGTGTTAATGTTGTTCCATGTCAGAATAAAACAAAACAAAACCAATAGCCTATTCTGAAAACATAGTAAGGTAGTGCAATTCCTCTTCTTAACGTTTTAACATAATTAGTATTAATTAATTTGTTAGTAGGCCTACCTATGGTACCTGCATTTGACTTTTTTTCAGAAGTCTTTGTTCATGTAGCCTACTGCTGCTGTGACATGTGAATTAGCCCCCAGGGATAAATAGTATAATAATAATAATAATAATAATAATAATAATAATAATAATAATAATAATAATAATCATTGTTAAAAGGTGAAAATAAAACACCACAGATTCAAATTCTCACCTCTAAATTGAAGCGATAATGTGTCATTTTTTTTCCCCCTTTGAATGCAAATTGCAGATTTCTTTTAATGTTTTTTTTTTTCTGATAACATGCTGGACGCTATACTGTGTTCATGGTCAATAATCTGCAAAAATGAAAAGCAGAAATGAATTAATTAATACAAATGACAAAATTATGACAAAAGATGTGCAACTCACATAAATGTAATACTACCTAGCTCAAATCTTTACGAACATTATGATGCATGTTGCAACAAGCTCAGGTCTTGGGTTAAAATATGTTTGGCCTAAATCCTGTGTGTTGTGTCTCTTTCAGAAGCCTTGTATTTATCTCAGCCTTAGCCTTTCTGACTTTTGTAATAGTAACTGTAAACTCAGCATGAGCTTATAATTTTAAGTATGTAGTGATGTGTTCATGGCTGGTGATAATAGTGACATTTACACTGGCCAAATACAAGCTACATAATAACACATGCTAAGTCTCTTTGGGTAAAGAAAAAGTGATGGTTCAGTATTGGCCATTTTGGCCTACTTGTTGCTCCACAGAGGCAAGGAGATGGCACTTTATCAGACACACAGGGGAGGGCTGGACTATAAAAGACCCAGAGAGTGAACCAAACATCCTTCACTCTCAGTCTGTGCAGAAGTCATAGCCCAAAAGCTACTGTTCGTCTCCATCAGTCAGGATTCCTGTTTTTTTATGTCTACTCCAGAGGAGGACATTATAAATACTTGCTTTGACCAACCTGCCAACTCAGGTTCAAATGTATGACTGCGGACGGCCAGTCAGAATTCAAATTCTGGTGCCACTTTTCATTATATAAGGAGAGATAATATAAATATAAGGAGGATGAGGTTGTTTGATCTTACTGACAGCAGAAAGCTTAACGATTGTATGACTGATCTAATGTGCAGCATCATTAGCTAGTACCATCTCTACAATACAAACAAGGACATATTCCAGGACGTTAATGTAATTCAGGAATCAATCAATTAATAAAATATGAAGACTAATAAGAAGACCAATAAAATAGGCAATACTGAGACAAAACTTTAAAAAGGATGTCAAAATACATTTGTATTATTATGAAACCACCTAAACAAAAAATTACTTGAAATATCCTGAAATCTATTTTATTTACAGTGAAGGCAGCACTGTGGAAATTATGATCATACTGAACTGTGTGTATTTTAGTTCCACTACATTTTTACTGTTCTAACTATGAAAATTGTAAAGGCAAAACATCTATCTAGGTGAATTAACGTTATAGTAGGATACAGCATTTTTTGGAGTCATAGACTCATAGAGACAAAAAGTCAGGAAATCTTGGCATCTGTTGCATCAATGTAGACTTTGTATGTCTTTCCCCACAAGTCCTCCAATCTTATGGAAGTGCAACACCATAACAAAAAGGGGAACAGCATATTGATTTGGGACAAACAGTTTTTATATAATAGTAGCAAATCTTGACATATGTACAAAATAAATAAATACAATAAAAACTTCTTCATCTTTATGATTAATGTTGGTTACTGTGACATTTATAATTGTATTTTTCTTCCCGTTCAAGACTAATTCAAAACGTTTTCGTGTATCTTTGTATGAATTTGTTGGATCTTTCACTGTATTAGACTCATAGGCCATTTTAACTCACTGATACAACCCATATGATTATACTGTATTATACTATATATATGGCCGTGGATGACCTTTAGTGTCGCCTACATTAATGTTACTTTAGAACAGCAATAAAGCATAACTCATCTCCCTGAGTTTGTCTCCATCTACAGACATTAAAGAGCTAGTTGTTGAAATTGATTTATCCCTTCTTGTAATTTAACAAGAGCTGACGTTCTCTAACGGACGTTTAACATGAATAAAGGTGTAGCCATCACCCTTTTACTAAGAAATGTCCTTTCTTCAGCGTAAGAAAAGATTTAACCGTGGAGGTTTATTTTAAGCCGCAGCAGTTTGTCTTTACAATAAAGTTTTGAATTTTGAAACGTCCGTCCTGCATAATAATCCGACTGGCAACATTCCCCGTGTGTGTTATTGTGGAGCAGCTACTGGTTACCTGTACTTTTCGTTTTACGCTAAATAAATACTCTTGAACTGTAAAACACAAATACAGTGTCTTTGTTTGTTTGCGTATAGATGGACGGTGTGCCTTGCCTTCGTGTGTCGCAGTGCCATGCACAGCAGTTAAGGTAATCAGCCTTTCATTGAGTGAATAGCTTCTTAAGCTAAGTTAGCTAGCAGTTAGCATGGGAACCGTAGACACTGATGGGAACTAAGAGCAATGGACAGACGGTCAAATATGCCTCTCTGTACTAATTCTGATGCCCCTTTTGCATGTCTTAACTTACAGGAAGTGTCTACAGTCCAAAGGAGCTCTGGACCTGAGTTTGTGTTTACTGAAAGACTCAGGCGTGACTGGGACAGTCCTCTTGCCCATTTTACCATCATGTGTGTCACAACTTGATCTGCAATCTCTCAGAACAATGGTGGCTTCAGACAGTGATTGTGAAATAGTTTGGAGCCAGGTAAATAAAGCTGAGTTTCACAGCAGCTTTAAACTACTTGTATGCATATCCTGTTATCTGTCCTGTTTTCACCACAGTCTCATTTGCAGTCAAAGAAGGAGAGAGGAAGGACGAGTGCTAATAAACTAGAGAAAATCCTCCTGGAGCTGTTGGAATCTCATGGTGAAAGATGGACAGAGGAGTTGAGGGGGGACCTCCCTCGCAGCTTCCAGAGGCATGGAGACCTAGTCCTGCTGGGAGACAACTGTTTCACCCTGCCACTATGGAAGAAAATGGGTATTGTTCCCAAACCTAGCCACAGTTTTCTTTAGTACTGGGTGTACAAAGTAATTCACTGATTGCTTTTACATTTCTAGATAAACAGCTATGGATTGCTGTGGCCAAAGGACTTGGGGCAAAGCGCCTGGCAAAGATGAGTCGAATATCCAAGGATGGATTTAGGTCTCCCGTGGTGACGATTCTGTTAGGACAGCACTGCTGGGTCAAACATGTGGACAATAAGATTAGGTAAGTCTCAGTCCTAATCAATCAGAGTAATTTATTTGCTCTTAATTTGATTATTGAATGGGCACATGAATGAATACATACTAAAACATGTCTGAGTTTAAAATGTGTTCACCTTTGTTTCAGGTATGAGTTTGATGTCACCAAATGCATGTTCTCAGCTGGAAACATAACGGAGAAGCTCCGGGTGGCTGGATTTGACTGCAGAGGGGAGACTGTGGTGGATTTGTATGCAGGTGGGATGATTGTGTCAGTGTGTAAAGTAGAAAATAATTGTAATGTATCTTCATACAATCCATCCATCCATTATGTTACTTTTGTGTCTAACCCTTGTACTCTTCAGTCGCAATTAAACATAATCTGAAACATGAATGTTGGTGTCTAACTATCACAACTGTATCTTGTGTCAGGTATTGGATACTTCACCCTCCCATATCTGGTATATGCGGGGGCTAGTCATGTTCACGCCTGTGAGTGGAACCCTGACGCAGTTGAAGCTTTACAGAAAAACCTCGTGGCAAACAGGGTGTCTGACCGTTGCACTGTTCACCAAGGAGACAACCGAAAAGTAATGTCTTTTCATATGTGTCCCATGCTGCCGATGTGACATGTATTGTTTACACACAAGTACAATATTAGCTCTGTGTTAATTGGATACTTCTCCACAGGGATGAAAGTGTTAATTTATGCCCTCTAGTGGGTGTATTAGTTCCCATCTCCACTGAAAACCATGCCAGCAATTATTGAAACCTCAGGATTTTATTTCTATCAGCACAAAAGAGAATGAGTCAAACATAAGTGGTTATCTTATCTAAGGGATTGTAAACAATGGCCTTTAGGTCTAATCTATGTAAAATGCATGTTCTCTTACTTATTTTGTGCTCTGTAGCTATAAAACTCGAAGCTCGGCACTGTTACAAGAATAACAAAATAATAATTTAGTTACAAGTATTGAAGAGTTTTTTATTTGCATCTTTTTCCAGCTCCAGCTGTGTGACATTGCTGACCGAGTGAACCTGGGTCTCATACCGAGCTCTGAGGACGGCTGGCCTGTTGCCTGTCGACTGCTGAAGAGAACAACTGGTGGCATTTTGCACATTCACCAGAACGTTACCTCACCGTTACCGAACACGGCAGCCGTTTCAGCAGTCGATGACACCACTGAGAGGGTTTCTGGGAAGAAAGTTGACAGAGACGTGTGGCAGGCCTGGGCCGCTGACACAGCAAACCAAATCGCCTGCCTTTTAAAGGACATCACTGGTGCACCGTGGATAACAAACATCCAACACATCGAACACGTTAAGTCATATGCACCTCATGTTCACCATATTGTGCTGGACTTGGAGTGCAGACCATCCTGAGCCGAACAGATGCTGAGTGGACACTCTGGCATTAAACATTTTAATGTTGCTTTATTCTAAAGAGGAATTGGGCATCTGTGTGGTCCAGATGTTTTCAATGCAACCAAACAGTAGTGGTTTGTGAAACCAGTGGCTGCAGTGTTTTTTATAAACCTTTTATTTGTCCAGGGCAGGTTCACTAAGCACAAATGCTGTTTTTCTTTTGTCAGTTTTTTTCTAGAAACGCCCTGTCTTACACTCATGTCAGTATAATCACACCTGGGAACTGCTAAGTCGTATCACAACCACAGTCTTATCTGTTGGCTACTGGACAGCAGAGAAGTCATGATTTATGTGCCTTGCTCAAGGGCACCACATTCTCGTTATACTCACTGGGTTTCCATCTGGTGTTTGATCCATAGACCCTTTTGCTGAAATGAAAAGCTGAAGACTTGACTCACATCCATTGTTCCTGACTCTCACATCAGTGACAATAACAGGAAAATGCAAACTTACAAAACTCTATTATGACCTGTCAAACTACAGGAGTCATATTTGACATGAAAGTAAAGGTCAACCTCTATGAGACATTTAAATAGATAACATACATTACATACTCTACCTTGCCAATTTATTTTCAGAACTTCGAGAGGCAACAGTTATTTTTTCCAAAAACATTTGAAAAAACACAAGAGTTTCACTCCTGAGCTATAAACAGGTGACAACATAAAGGATAAACCTGAATAAATGAGTGGACAAACAGAGCACACAGGGTGCTTACTGAATGGTAATAATATGAATCATATGATTTGGCCTTCACAGTCATTAGGTCTGAACCCAATTGAACAGCTATGGGAGAATTTGGATCCAAATAAAGGAATGTCTTCTGGATGAATGGTGTTCATCCTTCCTGTAGAAATCTATGCCAAGGAACAGTGAAGCTGTTGTGGCGGCTCGTGGTGAACCAACACGTTACTAAGACCGTTAATGTGTTTGTTTTTTTCTCCCATCTGTATCTGCCATGGATGTAGTAGGAGGTGCAAAATGTGTATTTGCACTACTTCGCCAAAAGAGCCTACTCAAGACACTGTTGGATTTTCTCAGCAAGTGATGGCCCATATGAGTTTCCTCTCAAGTGTAGTATTAATTATATGAAATACAAACTCAGCAGATCTACCTTGTTGTTGCCTTTGGTCACGTGCACAGTAAATTAGTTGGGAGTTGTTATTAACATTAATTTAATATCAGACAACACAGACAATCTTTATGATACTCACAAGATGATATTTAAAATGTGGGGAAGACGAAGAAGAAGAAAAAAGTTAGGCTATACTTTTTCTTTTTTTAGATACCAGAGATTTGTTGTAAATGGAAATTAGAAACGCGACTGTGAGAATTAACAGGCAGTTTTTATGGGCCCTGTGATCATTTGCTTTACTATGTGTTGTTCTGCCCTCACTTTGCATACACCCTTACAATAAATAATGACATAGTATGTGGCAAGGGATAGTGCCTTTATGTCTCAATTGTAGTACATATATTGCTGTATCTATATATGAATTTCTCACGTCTGATACAGTCTACTTTTCTCTCTTTTTCAGAGGAAAGAAACGTTTCCAAAAAAAACCCTACACTTCCCGTTCCAAGTTTTGCTCTCACTGCATTCAAAATAAGCTGTTACGTTAAGTTTGCGTGGGAAAGGAAACAGAGCCAATTATTGGACAGTTTCAGTGGGTCAGCCCTTCTGTGGTAAGCAGAGCTAATACACCTGTCATCATGGAAAATGTGGAGACGCGCTGCTTTCAGCAAACTTTCCTTATCTTCCGGGAACTGGGGAGTCTCTGAAATAAAGTAAACAGTGTTGGAGACGAGAGGCAAGAAGAAGAGGCAGAAGTGGGCAAGGCAGGGTTATTATCATAGCCGAGCAGGAAAGTGAGTAAACCACTTTATTGGTTAATTTAATTATCCTGAAAACGCTGTTAGCTTGTGTGCTACTTTAAACCGTTTCAGTTGTGTTTTCTGTCAGGAATATATCCCGCCGTGACGCGAGCCTGTATGTAACAGCGGGCTGAAGTCGACTTTTAACAGCAGGTGTGTGCAGTTTTCTTTAATCTGCATTTTGTAACGTTGTTAGTCTTCTGATTTCAGAAATCTCGAAGTTACGCTGTAAATTAAATGAATCGTCTGTCCAAATCTTTTGCCTTTTAAAGACGGGTGAAGGCAAAACTGTTTTCTAAAGACACCTTGAGGTGGATGTGGAGTCACGTTAGCATTAATAACGTTTTCAGTTGGTAACGTAACTTAACGTAAACGTTCGACCGTTAACACCGTTAGCAGCTTGAACTGAGTTAACAACACACAGTTCATCGCAGATTTTCTGATCTTTAACAACAGCCTCCGTGGAGTTTCATGTTTGTTAAAAATATTCTGTTAATTTCATTTGCAGTTTACAAAAACAAAAGCTATATGCCCTCACCACGCTACTTCACCTTTTATGCTTTTCCCGTTTTAATATCCCCAGTTTAGTGTCTGGAAGTAAAGAACTCTTCCACTTTCTTGTACAGGCGCATGCGCCATTTCCTTGATGGTAATTCTGCTGGTATTATTAAACTCCTGTTAGATAGTTTGGCCCCAGGCATTCAAACAATGAGGGAAAAGGGTATCAGGTTTTGTAGTGCAGTTTAGCGTTGCAGCTTTCCATTGATTAGCACATTTACCCTTTTGCTTTAAATTCCTTTTGAGGCAATTCAAAGTGAGCATAAAGTTTCAGATGAGGTGCATGATGGATGACAGGTTGATTGGGCTTAAACAAATTGTTAAGCTACTGAGCCACGCCCAGTTGTCTGTATCCTTAGAGGGTGGGAACCCTACATGATAGCCTTCATGTTGTTTTTGCCTGTCCCATTCAAAACAACCTTTCACCCATGTAGAGGCCTTCTGTGGGATTTTAAAATCCTCTCACATCCTGGTTCGTATGAGTCATTTATCATTTTAGGAATGCAATGCTTGTATGCAGGGTTGTAGACCTGTCCTCTTTTGAAATAGAAAACATGTGAAAGGGTCAGTTTCTGTTGGTTTTGTGGTTACGTAGACTCCCCTGGGCGATCTTTTTTATTTTTTTTTTACTGATGGACATAAGGTTTATAAATACACAAGGGGTTTACGCCTCTTGTACTCCCGAACTGTCCGTCACAAAGTTGCTGTAATGAGGTTTCACTGCATGGAAAAGACAAAGGTATCTTAGTCATTTAATTTGGACTACTCAGCTGTTTCTGCCTCTCCATCACCCTAGGGCATCAAAGTTCCTCTTTCTACTGCAGAGCTCAGCTTCGGTTGCCTTACATGAGATCATAGAAAGCAGCCTCTAAGGTAGTAAAGTCTAGACTCTTTTATTTTAATGTTAAAACTGTCTTTAATATACAGGGGGAGTTATAGTTACACAGTATTGAGTTTTTACGCTTTCAGTCAATTCCTGGTGTTTTGTTTTGTGTTCAGAACATCTCGATGCGACTGAGCTGAGCCAGTTAACCTGCACTTAGGGGTCTAGGTTAAAGGCACCATGCCTCAGGCTGCTGACATCATCAACCTGGGCTTCCTGACGGAGTCTGAGCAGGAGCTGATCCTGGAGGTGCTGCGGCGGGACGAGGAGCTAAGACAGGCTGAGGAGCAGCGTGTGCGGTGAGAAGAGAGTACTTCCTGTTAATTGTACTAAATGATTCTTACTTATCTAAGGCGCCAAAAGATATAAGGTATTGCTAATCCCTTAAGTTCAAGGTATTACTTTTTCATACTAATTAATTCAGCTTAAATATAACCTAATTTACTTTTTTATGCTTTGATAATGTTTTAAATATATTTTATGAGTCCATGTAGATCTTTTAATATCTATTAGAAATATTTCAAGATGCTGTTAAGGCTGGTTATTAAAACAATGCATTATGAATACCATCCAAAATGTTGTTTATCTAAATTATAATCAAAGTTCTTGTACAGTTTCTTTTATTAAGGCATTTCACACTGCTCAGAGGTTTGGCATATTTTACTTAATGAAAACAATAAAAAAAAAAAAATTAAGGTAATGAAAAGTATAATTTTGGTATCAGTGCTGATACCCAGGGATGTTACTGGCACTAAATCAAAAAATTCCAACAATACCCAGATATTAAGATATGCAGTGGACTACATAGATACAGTATATCTTATCTTAATATACAGATTTTTGTGTTGCAATGTGTACTATTTTGATTAAGGGCTGAGAGATAATTCAGTGTTATAATTTAACGATGGAATTGTATCGTGATTATATGATCATTTTCTTTTTTCATCTGGCAAAATTTTAAAAGATTTCTTTTACATTTGAAAGGTGTTTGTCTGATGTAATGCAAAACAGCGGAACATTATTACATTAATTGCATTAAATATCAACTTCATTATTCTGTGACATTTTATTTTAACATTTGCCATATCGTGATAAGGCCTGCAACTAGCAACTCATTTAATTATTTTGTCTATGAATTTATTAATTATTTTTTCTATAAAATGTCAGAAAATAGTGTAAATTCAGTGTCCCATAGAACAGAAGCTGGAAAGATGGAATTTTTGCTTTAAAAAATTTCTGGTAATGGATTAATAAACTTTGTTTCAGCTACATGTCAAAGACATTATTAGTGTAAGGCCCAGTTCAGACCGAAGATTCATGACTAGACGAAACCATTTAAGAACATTACGAGGAAAAGTGGAAGCGGTGTAAACTGACTTGCTCAGCTTGTCTATTTCCAGCTGATGGCGTCCCCTACGACTCAGCTCATCAAGTCTGGCCAGCTGTTTCAACAGCCAATCAGCTCATAGCAAAGTCAGCTGGTCGGAATGACTGAAGGGAGGATCACCTCATCAATTTATTACATACATATTTATACAGAAAAAGCCTGAAAAGCTGGCAGTTTGAAACGAAGTACAGAGAGTCATTACTATGCAGACGATACACCATCTTGTGTAGCTGTATTGATGTAAACTAGCGGGTTTCAGAATGTTGTAGACTGGTGCACTGCAAGTAGGCCTATATGCAAGTTACAGCTTGCCTCGTCGTGAATCTTTGTTATGAACCGTGCAGGTTAATTAAGAAATGATGTCACTAGTAGCAGGCAATGACGCAGGTATATTGGGTAAACCAGATAAGAACAAAAGGTCAGAATGTTTAAAAAAACGTACATACACTATACCACATGAGAAGTTTCTCAAAGGACAACCTCTCAGTTTTGTTTCGTCTCAGGAAATTGAAGACAGATTTGCTGGAAGTAAAGAGGAAAGGGGCCAAACGTGGCAGTGGAAAATACAGTCAGCGTAGTTGTGGCAGATGCCAGGAGCCTCTGAGTCGACTGACTGTTTTTCCCAGCCAGTGCAAGATGTGCAATCACCACGTGTGCCGCAGCTGCCGAACAGTCCTCCCCGAAGGATCCTGGCTGTGCAGTGTGTGTGCCAAAGAGACGTGAGAACGTGTTTTTTTTTTTGTTTGTTTTTTTTGATGTTTTTTTACACACTTCTTTAACTTACCATAATTGTATTTTTAGCAAATATTTTTAGCAAATATTGATCAAAACAATTTGTCTTTAGTGGCAGCAAATACCATGAAAAGCCCCAAGCTCATTCATGTCTAATGAAAGTGAAAAAAGTGGTAAATATATACTTTAATTTTAAAAAGATTATGTGATTTAATCTAAAACAGCTGGATATTGTACTTTTAGGCAATGGTTGCTCAAATAGGAGTAAATAGTGCCTATGTGGGGGACTTTTCAGTGGTAAATTCATACACATTTGGTGCCATGATGAATTTTTTCAGCAGCAGGATGGTACATGAGGGATTGAGTCAAAATAAAACGTATGTGTTTGTGTTCATGGCAATTAAGGGACACCCAGTGCAACAGTTCGCCTCAGTAATATGTTTAAATAGCTTTTTGTACAACAATGGATCTCTATGGCACAGAGGAATAATAATTATTAGTAGAATCAATTCATTGTTGTTTTTAAAGTAAATGGTAATTTTAGGGTTTTTATGTATTGAAAAGCTGATACACAGACAGAATATCATTCATACTGAAGTCACTAATAAGTAGTATTTTGTGCTTAATCTTTAAGTTTTTACCATTTAGATACATTATCCTTTTTTAAATTAAATTTGAAACAACCGTTGGTCAACAAATATTTAAAATGTTCAAATATAAAATCGTTATAACTGACATGTGGATATGGGCAGTTTAATGACACTTAAATCAACAGTTCAAAATGGATCTGTCAATACAACATCCCTCTGTAGCAAGTGCTGCTGACTGTAATACTTTTATTTTAAACCTTGCATACAGTAATCGTAACAGCAGTGCACAATAAGATCTATTTAAAATTTTTAGAGACGTAGAAACTATGGTATGTGCATCTCCTCACGCCTTTATTATTGCAACAGCCTCTTGTCTTAATCAAAAAACCTTTGAAACAACTACAGAACCAAGTACGATCAAATCACCCCTGTTTTAGCCTCTTTAACATTGGCTCCCTGTTTGTTGTTGTTCAGATTGATTTTAAGATCTTATTGATTGATTTTAAGGCCCTTCATGACCTGGTTCCAGATTAAATTGTGGACCTTTTTTAATCCCTTATGAACCTTTGCGTAGTTTGAGACCTTGGTGCAGGGGTTGTTCTGTCTCTTCCTGAGTCCAGCCTGAAAACTACAGAGCTTTGCTGTGAGGGCCCCAAGGCTCTGGAACAACCTGCCTGAGGAAATTAGACTGTCTGAGTCAGTGTCTTGTTTTGAGTCTCTTCTAAAAACGTACCTACCTGTTTTTTTTAATGTCATTTTATCTCATGAATGAGTGAAATTCTATTAAATTTAGACATTTTTAAAGTATTTCTTTTGGATTTTAGGGATCTAAAGAAAAGGACAGGTGACTGGTTCTACGATCAAAGGGTCAACCGTTTCTCCACAATGCCTGGACATGACTTAGTGAGAGTCTCCCTGAAAAAGAGGCCTCAGCGTGAGTACAGGAAGAGGAAGTGGTTATCCACTGTTCAAAGAATGTAAACAGCTCTCAGCCTGAGCCGAGTGAAATGCACAAACACTGGAATCTTGTTCAACAGTAGGATAAGAGAAATGTTAAACTCAGTTTTTGTTAAACTGAATTGCATTTTAACTGTTGTTGTGTTTATAGTGAACAAGCAGACAGCAGGAGAAATTCTGTTGAGAAGTACAGAAATAAACCAACCTATTCCCGTGCCTCGGTCCAGGCAGATAAATCAGACTGGTAACAAAGGGTGAGTCATCGTTGTTCACATAAGTTTTAGAAATGTTAATGTATTTCTAAAAATCGATTTTTGTCTTATGTCATATTTTCTTGTGACAGTCATGGAAGCGAGAATTCTGGATCAATTGCTTCAAGGGAATCATTTGAATCAAAGGAGGGTATTTCGTCAAAGCCAACACGCAGTGACACAGAGTCTGCAGAAACTGTCAGTGTTATTAGCAGTAAATCTACGTCCGAGTTAAGGTAAACTCACTGGCTGACAAGTTAGCAAGGCTTGGGTCAGATCATGTTTAAATGGCGATAGTTGATAAATCAATCATTTATTTAATCATTTATATTCATTTTTTACCTTTGGATTAGTTGGCCTGCAAAAATCTTATTTAAATTGCAGTAAAAGGAATGTAGTATAGTTTTAACTACTCTCTCATGAGGGTGGGAAGATTGTGCAATTGCACTGTTAAAATAGAACATAATAATAAATCAGTGCAGTTAACTTCATTATATGTAGATGAGACAAACCACGAACAGGACAGCAAATTAGGCACGGAGCGTTTGGGCTTGGTTGTAACACTGTCTGTTTGCACGCTGAGAAAGAAAATCTGCCTGAAATAGATGTGCCTGAATAAATAATTTCAACTGTTGATGATACAGCATTTGTCATTAAAATAAAGCCCACAGAAAGCATAAAAAATGACTTAATATAACAATTGCCAGTTTCAGGCTAATATGGGTGAGGGTGTAGACCACAGGTGGCACACAAATTTGGAGTTAGTTAAGTAAGTGGTTTTATATGGATTTGAATGTGAAAAAGTTGTAGTGATTAATAATGATTTGTATCATCACACAGGAGTGACGATCACTTGGTTCAGTCCAGCCCAGCGGGATCTGGTGTCTCCAGTAGGGCTGTCACAATCAAAGAAGATGTTGTTATCATTGACGACGCAGACACAGAAGCTAACACTGTACGATGCTCTGAAGTGACATGGTCATGTTCCTGTCTCAAGCCATTTAATCTTCTTTTCTCTCACTGACTCCCTGTTTCTGTCAATATAGGCCCCAGAAATAAAACCGATCAGCCCAAGCCCGGATTTGGAAGTCGATAGACTCTTCAAAAAGAGCATCAAACGAAACCCAAGGCCTTCTGGTTAGCTTCTTATATTACTGTGGGCAATGCTGTTGTCTTATATCCAGAATCAAATGGTGGGGGGAAATGGTTTATCGCAGTTTAATTGCTGGTCTTCATGTTCATAGCAGAGTATGTATCGACATTGGACCTGCGGGATGGACCTGACACATCAGAGGCTCCAATGGGCAAAAGGAGCCGTTCTGTACCCGGCCTAGACATACAGGTATCAGTACAAAACTGATACACTTTCTTTTCTATGCGATGTTGTTGTTTTTTTTTCAGCATCCCAGACACTACTATATACTTCAGCAAGAATGACGTTCGATATAGCTGCCAAGTCGTAGTGGTGTAGGTAAAGAGCAGAAGGTCTCCGGCAGAGAAAAGACAGCTTGCTCAAAATGAAACATGTAGGGAAGCTGCATTTAATTCTGGTCTATTGAGACTATACTCAGGTTATTTTAACTTCTTCTGTGGTGGTTTATTTCCTGTGTGATTGTTGTCAGAGCTAAATGCATGAACCTAGAAAGAAGCCCATCCTCTGATATTGGGAGCTAACACTAAAACCTGCCATGCACAGCTGATGTTTCAGATAGTTTACTTTTTTCTGCTATTTAATTAGACTATAGTTGTATTAGCTAGTCATAGGTACAGAGGTTAAATGCTAGATTTTTCCAATCACAGTATCTATCTATTACACAAAGAGATCGATCTTTGAGAAACCAGACTTCTTTTATTTGTTTTTTTAACAACACAATCCTTATTATGGCTGACAGCGAAAACCCCGCTGTGTGTCTATGATCAGCCTCCTAAATGTTTCATTTTATTGGCACAGGAAGTTGGAGAGGAGGAGGAAGATATTGACAGCTTGGTCAGCTTTCATAAAAGGACAATGGCTTCGAGCTCCTCCAGCCTACGTAGCTCAATGGTAAAGTATTGACATTTCTCGCAGCTTGCATTAGTCCTCTAAAGTCTCTTTTGAAGAGCAGCTCATTATGTCTCTCAGAACGGAAATGATGTAAGATAATCTAATCGAGCATCTATAACCTCAGGATATCCTCCAGCAGGTTAGGAAGTGTGAAATTGATGTGTAAAGGCTACCAAAATGTGTCTATAGTTACCAAAGCCTCAGGGGAAAGCAAAACTGAGGCCAAAATGACTCTCATGCTGTCACTTTAGATTTAGATATTGACAGAAACATCCTGATTTCTGCTAATTTGTTTGTCCCTGACTCGCTTTCTGTTAACTCTACAGCATGTGTTGTTACTGTAGGTATGAATTATTTGTTTCCGTGTTATATCTCCTTTTATCTTTTTACACTGTGATCTGCAGCATTATGCCTATAGAGCATGACTGTCGAACTGTTATCTAAATGTCAATATTTGGTATTAATGAAACAAACACTGGAATTGTTAGTGAAAAACTATTCAGGTCGGGTGTATGTATGTTTCTCCAGAGCACACTCGGCAGCATGATGAGTATTTATAGTGAAGCAGGAGACTTTGACAACGTGGAGGTGAGCGGAGACGTCGTCTTCTCTATGAACTACGACGAACACACCCAGAGCCTCCAGATCTTCATCAAGGAGTGCCACGAGCTGGCCTACGGCGACGCCTCACGGCAGCTTTCCAACCCGTAAATGTTAAAAACTTTCCCTTTTTCCAAGTGTAGCTGTAATATGCCAGTTCCACTAGGATACATACATCATTTGAAGCTCAGTTTGCTCAAAAGCTGGCCTTCACATTGAGCAACAGTGCAGATTGCTGCTCTGAAACACATTTTTCTGCTGCACACACACCCCTCTGTGATGTTAAAACAGCTTTGATCGGTGTAGATAAGAGGTTTCTGTGTTTACAAAGTCTCATAATCACGTCCCAGAGTTGATTACTTGAGCTTCACAGGAAACCGAATGGCAACAGATATTTTTCAATGCATTTAGTCAAGGAAGTTAAGTCAGTTAATGCAACAAAAGACCAGTTGACATATTTTTTTTTGTTTGTTTTTCAGTTATGTCAAATGTTATCTACTCCCTGACAAATCTCGCCAGAGCAAAAGAAAGACCAGCATCAAGAGAAACACGGTCAACCCCGTCTACAAAGAAACACTGAAGGTGATGGTTTATAACTGGACCAAACTTTACCACAGCTTTACTGAAACTCCCTTACTAATAACCTTGCGCCATGTCTGCTGCAAATAATGACCACACCTACAGAGACTTTAGGGTTGATATTGACATTGCAGATTAGAGTAGCTGTTGTCAAATATTATTTTTGGTCGTGGTTTCCAGTGTAGCAGTGACTTTACAGTGATAAAACAAAGGACAAAACCAAGAGAAAGTTTGGATATGCTCTTAAAGGGTTTGGAAGAAGGTAATTATTTAGATTTTAGATGCAACTTCCAATAAAATCTGAGTCCATCTTCTGCTTTAAATTAAAATTATATTAATTATAAGACTTCTCCACCACTGTATGAGTATTGAGACAGGCCTTTGATCCATCCAGTCTTCTCCCTCTTGTCTTACCACTACCAGTACTCAATCAGCCGCTCTCAGCTGTTCACCCGCTCCGTGTTGATATCAGTCTGGCATCATGGCCGCCTCAGCCGCAACGCCTTCCTGGGAGAGATGGAGATCCCTCTGGACTCCCGAGACCTTGACTCCCCGTACGAGGATCGTGTGGCTCTCATGGCGAAGGTAGATCAGAGACTCTGTATTTAATTCTCCTTACGATATGATCATGAACTCTTGTGTTACAGGGGCCAAGTGGAGGTTTCTTGCAAACAAATAAATGTTATGTTTAGATTCAGTATTAAAACGCATTATGTGTATGCTTGAGGTCTAATTGAGGAATTTCCTTCCTCATAAAACACTCGCAAAGCTGATCTTTTTTTTTTCGAAACCTGCAATGTTAACATCCATGTCTTCTTCTTTTCTATCTTTTGTGAGCATTTGTGGATCCACTAAAGAAAAACTGCTCTACAGCGCTACTAGAGGTCAAAAAATCAAAAACACAAATCGTGAGGACATATTTTCTGAATTTAACAAAAAGATGTGTATTGGATTAGAATTGCATTTACAAATATTGCTACTCTCTGGCAATCAACACTTGAGTGAGTGTTAAAATTAACAAGAGGGAACAAAAAGTGCTCTACATAGCCCAAATCACCTGTGCCAGAATAGATTGGGTGTAAAAACTGAAGTTAAAAGGATTTTAAATGGAACCGTCCCAATAATCATGTCAAACTGGATCAACAAGGAAACGGCAGCCAATAGCTGAAACCAACAGAGGTGCAGGATATAGTAGATTGACAAATATTGACAAATTGCTGTGCAAGCTAACAAACTGCATGTTACATTTGTTCATGAAGTGTTTTTTGTCTGCCATATTTGACATATCTCATCAGCCCCCTCCTCACTTACTACTGACATGCATTACCATGCACCTTCTGTGTATGTTTGTGGGTACTATGTTTCTGTGATGATGTCATGATAATATGTGGATTGTCTGCTGGTGTCCATTTATGTATTTGTGCTGCAGAGTATAACATTTACCGAAAGCAAATTCCACCGACTTTGGTCATGTGGCTAATTAAATAATAAATACAGTTTATTTCTGTTTACCATTTTTAGAATTGCTGCTATATTAATGAATAATCTCTACTATTTAGCAGAATAGAGTTACAAACTCAATTTCACTCTATGACCTGTTATATTGTGACATAATAAACCTAATAAAATATAAATATATAATTTATATATATTTTATAATATCTATCTATCAGTGCTCACCAGTATACTTAAGCATGATTAAAATCAGCAAGGTCAAAGCAAATGAAAACAAGGTGAAGCTTATTGATTAGTGGGAGGAGTACACCCTGACCAATATAGATCCTGGTTCTCACAGATATGTTTGTATCAATGTATACATTGTCAGATGTATTTAAAAAAAAATTGCTGTACATAAAATACCAGGATTGTGTTTGAGGTAATCTAGAAAGTGAGTTTCCATGACACATTTTATAACAATATGGCCAAATTCAAAGGCACCTGTGGTACATATTCTTTGTCTTTGTTTATTTATTGGTATATTATTTATTCCACCCTCAGTTATCATCTATACCTCTGTATCAGCCTCGGCCACCCAGTATTTGTCAGTCAGGTTTTAGTGTAGAGGTTAGTAGGGATAACATGTTTGCTGTATTGTTGTTTGGGTTTCTTCTTGTGTGTCCTAAATGTAATGTACTTTTCTTAAACAGGCAGCCTCTGCTGTCCCGGCCTCAGCTTTTGCTCAGTACAAAGGAGAGTTGGTGATCTCCTTGAAGTATATCATGCCTAAAAAGCCAACAGCTGAGAAAATCAAACGTAAGACTATGATAAGAAAACCTCATTCAGCTGTGGCTGTGTTTGACGCACTTTGCCTTTCATTTTCTAAGCATGTCTGTTGTCTTCTACGCAGGCAAAAAGGTGATTACTGAAGAAGGGGGGGAACTTCATATCCTTGTTAAAGAGGCAAAGAATTTGATGGCAATGAAACCAGGAGGCACCTCAGATAGCTTTGTAAAAGGGTTCGTGATGAACTACAGTTTTAAAATTAAAATGACACACATTGCATTCCCATTCATACATTTCTCTTTTCAAAACCAACTCTCTGTTTGTGCTTCTGCAGGTACTTGTTCCCAACTAAGTCAAAGAACACAAAGCGGAAGACTCCAGTTGTGAAGAAGAACCTGAACCCCCACTACGACCACACATTTGAGTACAAGGATCTGACTCTGGAGCAGCTGAAGGGCATGTGTCTGGAGCTGACTGTGTGGGACAGAGAGGCCTTGGTGAGCAATGAATTCCTGGGAGGAGTCCGTCTCAGCTCTGGAAAAGGTAAAAGATAGAATTAATATGGGTAGGTTGCCTTAGTTGGGTTACTGTGAGTAACCTATTGTAAATGTCATAATCTCAGAGAGTTGGACTTAATGAAAGTCTTTCTTATTTGTTTCACCTACGTTAGTTAAGCATTTTTGAGGAGGTAAATTATTTTGTTTTGTCACCCTAAATTAAGGTGTTTATTTTCACAATTGCACCTTTTTGTAGTGGTAATTATTTCACTCTACTTACAATTCAGTGTTTAGATCTTTGTTGGCAACCTTTTTACCTTTTATGTTGCGCTCCTACCCCCTATACGTGGGTGTTACACTGTAGTGAAAATGAATTTAATTACTCTTTATAAAAAGATAAAGTAATACAATATCTTCCCTTTTCTAGTTTAAATAGTTTTGTCAAAACATAATTGCCTTTGTGAGAAAGACCCTCTTAATTTTAGATTTCTGCTAATGCACCTACAAGGCTTCCATGTGCTTTCCCCATGTTAAAATTAAAGTGAGTTTTCTGTCATTAATTTTGCATTCACTGTGTAATCTTCACCCCTGCAGGCATGGTGAAAATAGGAAAAGAGGAAGTGGAAATGGACTCTGTTGGGGAGGAGATCAGTCTATGGGAAAAGATGATGCAGTACCCTGACTCGTGGGCAGAGGGCACTCTTCCACTGCGTTCCACTATGGAGAAGAAAAAGGGCAAATGAGGACGGCACAGGCCTGGACCCTTCCAGAGACTGAAAAGGGGAGAAGCTGTGTGGTCTGAGACAAATATGACATTGTGGATTCATTTTACTTTGCAAGCTTATCATACCAGAAGCTTGTCTACTGACTTGAACAAACATGCAACCGATTGGCTCTAAGCAGGCACACAGTTGATTGGTCTGCTGAATGCTAAACATCTGCTCTCACCTGCCCCCCTACAATGGGGACTGTTGGCAGTGTGCTAAAGCATCACAACACTAAACTCTGGATTTATTTTAGATGCATTTACACAGTCATTTTATGTTTTTAAAATTCAAGCTGTGTGTATTATTGCAATTCAAATTCATTCACCTAAATTCAGCACTTAGGACAGAAACATTGTCATTGTGTGTCACCATTTTCTTTATTATTGTGTACAGAATTTACTGATACATGGGAAAACAATTCATTATAGACTGGTATTATCTTGTGTTGCATCCAACAAATTGCGCTTTGCTTAATTGATACCATTTTATTTAACATTAATACTATCACATAAAATATATTTATATAAATTGCACAAAAAGCCTTATTTGAAATTATTAAATGTCTATTTGCAGATATAAATGTAGATTTTTAACTTTGTCATCAGAGTCATGTTCACCTCAAGGTTGTCTTGAATGTTCTGTTCACCTAATAAAAATGTAGTAAACCCAAGACGTGCTTGATTGCCTTAGCTCTGAATTACACTCAGATACCAGCTGGATTAAAACATCTGTCCACTCTAGTGTTCCTCAGTAGTCTTTTTTGAAGTTGTTGTTGATTTTAATTCTAATTTAAATATCAGATTTACTAACGGGCTCATTGACAAAAACTACTAATCCACATCATGCATCCAGGCTAATTTTATGCATCTATTTGTTAAAATGTTGTTTGTAAAATGTAATTTCTGTGTTTTTTTACTAATGTGTTTTACTTAAGCTTGTTCTATTTTCTGTAGCTGTGATGTCCATTTTCTGACCTCCATACCTTTCAGATGATGATTTGACAGAATAAACAGTGCTAGCACTTCAGTGTTGTATAGTGATTGCATTTGGACATGAGGAACTGCCTTCTTGTCCTCTTTTTCCCTCCGAGTGTCCCTCTGGATCTGGTTTCTGGTTGTTTGTCCTTCCTCATTTTGTGTTAAGTAATACTGATGGGTTTATCACTGTGGAAACCAGAGATGTTTATTAAATTAGTCACAGAAGTCTCTGTGGCTCTCCAGTTTCTCTCGTTCCTCTTCATCCAGCAGGAAGCTGTCGATGTAGGAGAAGAGCTCATCCGACGCCATTGGGGTGATGAAGCGCTCTCGGTCCAGCCCGAGATCGTCCAGCAGCACCATGCTGAAGTAGGATCTGGAGATTCTGAATGCTTGTCTACAGAGAGACATAAATCAGCACTTGGGTTGTTAAAGGAATACTTTATCATTTCATACGTCGATATCATCAAAGCATCTATAACTAATATTGTACAACTGTAATGTGAGGGGGTTGTGATGAATCCACAGATGATTATCTTGAGACTTAATCAAACTTTATAAAGTCTTTCAGCTCAGTGTGTTGGTATTCTAGCTGCTAATGTTACTGTTGTAGTTTACTCTCTTGGTCTCAAGCTCTCGTCATCCTGCAAAAAGCTCTGATAAACCCACTGTATGTTACCTGTTAAGCACCAAATGGCAGACGGACAAAGTTTGACAACTAGCTGGTGAACATAGTGGAGCATTTAGCAGCTAGAGCCAGATATTTTCCTCAGGAGTTAATGGAGACCAAAAACAAATCCAAAAGAAAAGTGACTTTCATTTACCAGGTGACAAGCAACACAACTCCAAATGAATGATAATGTTGCTCCATATCCGCTGGATGTGTAAACAGGCCCTAACGAATGTCCCTGTCATGTATACACTTCCCTCATCTACTTCTTAGTGATTTCTGATTGCCTACATTTCCCAGAGTGCTCTGTACAACACTTAAAAGAATGTGCCTCAGTATGCTGCCCTCACTCAGCTGTGGGATTTGAGTCAGTGGAGAGACTTAAGGTTTAGGAAAAGATTTTCCAGTCTGGAAAAAGTGAGCAGTGCCCCTTACTCAAATTGCACAATTGGTGGAAAATCTATATCTTTGCCTGAAATGAATCAGTCCATACAGGCTATTGTCTATGTCTGGTGCATAACAGTGGACTTAAAAGAATCTCTTACACATTGATTCTGGAAAGCAAAGCCAGATGTTTACTATTGATGTTGTTCTGTTATTCCTGTCAAAATCCCATTACTGCAACTCTGGAATTATTACGTTGCTATTTTTAACAGCGATAATCTTTTGGTGGATTTTTTCCCTTTTAAAGTCAAACTAACAGAGGCTTCTTTTTAGTATGAGGCTCCTGACATTTAAATTGAGGGAGGAGAAACAACCCTTACTGTTATGCTGGTCCCAGCCTTCCTTTACACGTCAAGTTTTTAAATATAAGAGGGGCTAGTAGATTAGTCAGGTTAGGTTTCTTGTTTTTTTTTGATGTGGGAGTTATTTTTTACTTCTTAAACTGTGGTGATGTGCTCTTGGATTTCAGGATTGTGTTGGATTTATGCTGAATGTCTTTGTGTTTTCTTTGTCTTCTAACACTTTGAGACTGTGTTGGAAATAAGTGTTTTTCTTTTAACATGTTATCCTTTTGGGGGGGGGGGTTCCTGTGTCTGATAATCCATAAAGAAAATCAATCAATCAATCAATCAAAAAACCTTTTGCTGTTTATGAGAATGGGAGTTATATACTAAAGCCACTTCAGGATGGAATTTTTCAACCATATGAACTTATTTTACCCCCAGAAGGAACCTTAAAATTGCTGATTAACTAAGTGATGAAGAATCTCACTATTACCTCAAACCCTCAATGACTTCAGAGCTGAGCAGACTGTCTTTAATGCGACCCGTCTCACGAGGCGGGGAGCCCAGGAGCTCGATCAATGTGACATGTCGCAGGTCTAATCCACAGTCGGCTTTCTGGTTGAAACAAGGAAAAAGGATTTTAAGAAACTAACATCACTGGGGAAATCCATGTGAAGTCACCAGCAGTAAATAGTTTCCTCACTTGTATCATGATGTTCTGCAGTTGGTAGTCTGGGTCAGATATGTTGGGCGTAGACATGATCAGCAACCTCCTCTTTTCATAGAACTGATCCAGGAGAGCGGAGGCCGTATTTACATCTGATTTAATCTCCATCGCTACAAACACACAAGGTCACTTTACAGTACATACGTATGCTATTATATATATGCGGCAAATTCTTGATATCCTCTTTCATGCAGACTCACGAACACACTCAGCTGGTGCTTCTCCCCAGCTGCGGTTGAACAGGCAGATGCGACTAGATACACCCCTCCGTTCATATCCTCCGTCACAGTGGTATTCACATGTTGCACCATAGTTATTCCCATCAGAAGAGCAGGTGAGGTAGCCGTGTAGAGGTGGAGGTAGAGTGGGACATCTTCTCACTGGAAGGAGAACACAGTGGAAATAAGAAACCCAATCCTGTAGATTATAATGCTGTTTTCAAATTAATGTGTTGTATTTAAACTAATTTAATAAGTCAAAAAATGCAGGTTTGGCAGCTTACCCTCAACACGTACAATAAACTTGCAGGCAGCTCTGTTCCTGGCTTGATCGTACACTTTGTAACGGATAATGTTTGCTCCCTCCTTAAAGTCGGTGCCTGGCTCCTGGCCTACTAATATAACCCTACAGGAAGACAAGTACAGTAAAGGCCGTGTGCCATTTTAAAGTGAGCAGGAAAGGGAAGCAAAGGAAAGGAGTGACATACTCAAGTGATTTATCTGCAGTATCTTTCGCAGCTGGGGGGTCCCAAGTCACCATAGCAGTGAGTTTTCCAGGCTCGGCGACCTTGAGTCTGGACGGAGGACACTTGATTTTTGGAGGATCTGTGTCTGATATAAAGAGTTTGAAAATGATAAAAATATTGGGGATTTTGCAGGCAGGAAATTCATTTCAGTGACATTGTTTTTGGATAGTCAGTCAGACAGAGGAGAATATGAGGACTGAAAGACTGCAGTTCTGGATTTAGTCCAAAGAACTGAGGAGCAGGAAATCTGCTTGACTGTGAGCCTGAACACAGGGATCTGGGCTTATGAAAGAATAATGAAAAACTGGACAGCAATACAGATGGCTTGAATTCTGTAATAATAATACTGAATGTACCTGCACAATCTGGCTGTGCTCCGCTCCATGAGCCCCCGCGCTGACAGGTGCGTGAGTGTTCCCCCTCGATGCGATAGCCGGGGTCGCAGGTGAAGTCACACCTGGAGTCCACCACAAAGCCCTGAGTGCAGGTGTATCTGCCGTGTGGAATGAGGGGCAGCACGTGGCAACGCACCACTGAAGGAACACCACCACACAGACATTCAGTATGTTGAGAGTAAGGGTCGAAACAATCACAGAATCAATATTTATCTTAAAGGATAAAGGCTTGTGATAATCTGTATTTTTGTTATTGTCAACAAATTCCATGAAAGACCAAAACCAACAATATGTGTCATTCTCATAATACTTTCTGACTTTCCAAGCCTCTGTTGCGCTCACCTTCCAAGCCCATTCATTCCTACTGAATGATATGAATCTTTAAAAGGCTAAATAATCTTCTGAAACAGCTGGGCACTGTAGGTTTTAGCTAATTTTACTCAAACATCGGTGTTGGGGACTATTTTCAGCAGCGTATTAATACACAACATATAGGACTATTGTGTGTTAGGAGCAGGACAGTGTATGTGGCGTCCACTCAAAATAAACTAAAATAAACTTATCAGCCAGTGCTGTGTTTTTAAAAGATTTAAACAGCAATATGTACAGAGCAACAAATATATCAGGATTTAGCTACAGACAATCCTTGTTAGCGTGGACATATTCATTGTTGGTTTTGGCCTTTTCATGGATTTGTTGAATATCATCAGATTCATCCTTAGTTGGGAATTGAAAGTCTCAACTTCCACATACTGCGGCAGTAAGCCGTCCCAGACCAGCGTCGGTTGGCGAGGCACTGAATTGACCTTTTCCCCAGCAGGCGGTATCCTCGATCGCAGCTCATCTCACAGCGGGTGCCCAGCGTGCTCCGATAGGCCCCGCCTCGAGGGGACTGGCAGATCACCTCCCCATTGGTCAGACTCGGAGAATGACACCAGTAGGGGTCTGCATTCAAAGAGTGGCCCAAAACTATGTGATGCACTAATGTTGGAAAGCAGGGTACTGAAGAGCTATCTGCTATTGGCTAGTCTTTGGTACCGGGTGACGTCACCTCATTCACAATAGATGTGGATTGTAGCTGCATCACACAGATTTGGTTGTGGAATTTGGTCTTTAAGAGAAAAGTAGCCTATATGTGAGTGTTTGAGGTGGACAACACTGATAAAATCCTCTGTCATGGTATATGAAATTTAATTTCACAATATCAGTACATATCTTGATATAATAATTTTTCAATCAAATGAGAAGTAATTATTTACAGAAATGTCTGTTCTTGGATTAGCCAACACATAAAAATAACTGACTTTATCCCACCAATGCAAAAACTATTTTGATAATTAATTGGTTATCAAAATAGGTCACAATTTTTGTTCAATGGACTAATCGATTAGTTAACTCTTCTTTGTTATGAGTGCCTGAAACTTGTTCTAC